AGAGACACACGTGCACAGACCTGGGTGAACTGCGCAGCTACCTTGGCTTGCAGATCACTCGGGACAGAGCACAGCGCACCATTACCCTGACTCAGTCACACATGGTGCAGCTGGTCCTTCAGCGCTTTGGCTTCACGTACTCCTCGCCTCAGGCCACTCCTCTGTCTACTCGCCACTCGCTCTCAGCTCTGCCTTCGGATGAGTCCGTAGAGCCGAGTGGCCCGTACCCAGAGCTTGTTGGCTGCCTCATGTACCTGATGACCTGCACACGACCTGACCTTGCATACCCTTTTAGCATTCTGGCACGCTATGTTGCTCCTGGGAGACACCTCCCTGAGCACATGGCTGCAGCGAAGAGGGTGTTGCGCTACTTGTGCATTACGTCGGGCATGGGGCTAGTGCTTGGAGGGCGGAGTCCAGTGGTCCTCACTGGTCACGCAGACGCGTCTTGGGTTGACGACTTGGCTACGCAGCGGTCGTCACAGGGTTACACTTTCAGCCTTGGTTCCGGTTCTGTTTCGTGGCGGTCTACCCGCTCTTCTTCTGTTCTCAGCTCCAGCTGTGAGGCTGAGATCTACACGGGGGCCATGGCTGCACAGGAGTTACGCTGGCTTACCTACCTGCTGACTGACCTCGGAGAGCCACCTCGTTCTCCTCCAGTTCTGTACGTAGACAACAAGGCCATGCTGGTCTTGTGTCGGGAGCACAGACTGGAGCACAGAACGAAGCACATTGCTCTTCGCTACTTCCTTGCTCGTGAGCTGCAGCAGCGTGGTCAGCTACGACTTGCTTACATGGCCTCTCAGGCCAACACTGCTGATATCTTCACCAAGGCACTACCGCCTTGTGATCATCAGCGCTTCTGTACTTTGTTAGGTCTTGTACCTACTTTGCCTCACTTGCTCACTTCTTGACCTTGTTTGTACTGTGACCTATATATACTTGCACTTGCATGTTTAGCTTTATTTATATATGCTTGCATGTGAACTGGCCTTGTGGCCCTTGAACTTGTGCTCAGAATGTGTGGTGACGTTGGGATCCACCCTGAGCTTGCTGTGCTTTGCTTGACTGGTCTTGTGACCCCTTGTTCTCCCCCACTTTGCCTATGGGGGTGTGTCGAACTTATATGCTATAGTCTTTCTAGGCTGTAGTGGGGTAGACAGTATGGGGTACAGCTTTCTAGGGTTTCATATTTGTACCCAAACTCATTTCCTAGTTCATCCATTCCTCATTTCTTCACAGCCTGCATCGCCAAGAACTGTTGCATGAACTCGTTAAACTCGGCCTGATCCATGTGCCTCAGGCTTCGTCGAACGGGCAGGGGGTGACTAGCGATTTTTATGACTTTGGTGAAGGCGTAAACGCTATCGTAGTCGGAGTGAAATAATCGTATCTATTTCACAGGCCGACCGCTTTTACAGCCCACCAGGTCTATCGCTCCCCTTAAACAAACTACCCCGGAAACGCTAAGGTAACCTAGGAAAGTAGCTCTGATACCAAGTGTTATGAGTTGTGAAAGAGAAGTGTGCGCAGAATTCAATACCGTAAGCCCCTGGATAGAAGCGCAGGCCTCGGATAAGCGCCGGCGCTTATAAAAGGATGAGGGCGCTTATATCCGCTCCTCGATTATAAGCGCATGCTTCGAGCCTTACGGATTATAAGCGCACCCCTACTACCCTACACATTATAAGCGCCACCATTTAAAAATTAGATTTTTAAGTTTTAAGCTGTTACAATTAGTATCCTACTGCTATACTACGTTTTCTCTAAATATCCGACTACATCTTCGCATTTTCTACATTTTCTACCACATCTTCACGTCCTACACATTTCTACTCACCTACACAACCTAGGCATCATCCTCAGCAGTGGCGGTGCCTTCGTCGGCGGTCTCACCGTCCGACTCTGGCTCGTCTACGTTGTTGCAGCAGAATCCATCTGCTGCAATCTCGTCGTCAAGATCCACTTCGCCTTTGACGGCGTCCCGCCGGTGCTGCAGGCAGAGACCGTCCTGAGACCCGTCCAAGGCGTTACTGATGCCGCAGGTCAGAAACGAGCGCTCAATCAACTCCTTGGGCACCGCCTTCCAGGCCTTGGAGATCCACTTGAGCGTCAGCTCTGATGGTGGCTTGCGGATGTTGCCTGCCACACGTAGAAAGATTCATCAGTTAGAACAGGCTCAATAATTGAAAAACAATCAGTCCTAAATCTTAAATCTCACCTCTTTCAGTCAGGCAGTCAACACCCTCGCTCTCGAACCATTCCTGGTACTGTTGTCGCACAGCTGCTTTGAAGGAGCGGTTCACCGCGACGTCCAACGGCTGCACCTCCGATGTGCAGCCAGCTGGTATGACGGCCGGCACGATACGCAGCTCGCCGAATTTCGCCCTCACTTGATCAGTCAGGTGCCCGCGGTAGGAGTCAAGCACCAGCATCGCCCTCCTGCTGCGCACTCCGAACCTCGGGTTGACGTACGGGCCCACCGTACCGTCGAGCCACGCGAGGACGCCGTCCGCGTCCATCCAACCGTTGGGATGTGCGGCGACCACGACATCTGCACATCCGCACAACGTTGAGATTGACATCAGTAAAAAAAAACAACACATGCAAATCCTACCGGGACTGCACAAGCTGCTCGGCTTACCGGAGGGGAAATTCCCCTTTGGAACTGTCTTGCGCTTAAAGAACACCCAGGGCTTGAGCTTCTCGCCGCTGGCGGTGCAGGCGAGCATCACCGTCACGCGTTCCTTTTGATAGCCGCCGCTGCGGATGGGCACGGAGCGGACCCCCACCTCCTCGACAGTGCGTTCAGCTGGCATTTCGAGCCAGAGCGGGGTCTGATCCGCATTAATGATCCAGCGGTTGTCGATTCCGTACTGTCGGCGGGTGTGTCGCACGAACTTCCAGAAGTTCCGCACCTGCGTCTCGCACTCTGGAAGGGACGGGGAGGCAGAAACCATAAAAAAACATTAGCACATCGACCGGTTGGCAAAGGGGATAAACAAGAGCGAAGACAACAACACCCACTCACCGGAGGATAGTTTCTGGCCGACACGGGTCTTCGCTCGGGTAGTGAGATTCCAGCGGCGCCGAAAACGCTCGGTCCACCTCTGAGATCCCGCCCACTTTACCTCAGGATGCAGGCTCTTCATCACCTCTCGCGACCACTGCTGCAGGCGGCCGACCGACACTGCGAGGCACTTTTTTCGGGCGGCAAGTACTCGTGAGTAGACCTGGATCTCCATGTCGCGGTACCACGACGACCGACCACGCCCGTGAAGACGCTTGCGAGCCCCATGCGCGCCCTCCAGCTCACCCTTCCGCGATTTCCATTCTGCCAGGGACTTTCGGGAGATACCAGAGTCGCGCGCCATCTTCCGCATACTCACAGCACCGGACTCCAGCTGTGAAATCCAGTGCAGCTTCTCCTGAGAAGTATAGGAGTGCCGCTTGTGCCTTGAGCGCCTGCTCCTGGGAGACGGGGGGCGGGAATCACGATTCTGGGTGCAGGGGTGGGGCCTTTTTTTATTGGGCGGGGGAAAACTTGGGACAGGCAAGTCCTCGGGAAGACCGTCGGCCGCCCACCACTCAACATCGTCTTCGGCACCGGTGGCGGATTCGTCGTGCGGGCAGTCTTCCGGGTCTCCCCAACGTGGCGAAAGACCGGGACCGGTTTCATCTTCGTCGCTGCGCTCGGGCTCGTGCTCGGGCTCGGAGATGTACGCATCGAAAGCAGAGTAGCCCCGAGGGAGAAGCTGAAGAACGGGCACACTGTTGATGACGACGTTAGGCGGAGCGGGAGGAGCAGGAGGCGCTGGAGGTGCAGGAGGCGCAGGAGGAGCAGGAGGCGCAGGAGGAGTAGGAGGTATTGGCGCTGGACGACTCTGCCACTGGGAGTAATCGGGAGCTTTGTCAGCAGCACCTCGGCGCCTAAAGAGGAAATGGGTGCCTGGTTGGCCCGCCATGGCTAAGGCAGGCCGATGGGAAACAAGAAATCTGAAAAAAACAGGGAGAATGACGCCTGTTTGAAACCCTTGCCCGAGACCCCTCCAACTTCGCGGCCCGGGTTCCTCTGCAGGCTAAGGGGATAAACAGTCAAGATCTCCCCGCAGAGGAGCTGATGTGGTGAATTCCAAGCGTTGTTGGCAAGGAATCTTGCCGCATATGCCCCGTTTGTGGTTGTACTGCGTCGTGGCTAGCACGACAGTCGGCCCTGATTGGGCAGTCGCACACTAAACTGCGTGTGCGTTGGCATGGGCCAGATTCGGTACGATGAATCTGGCCAGGCGAGCAAGGCGTGGCGGGCGTGATTCCACGCGCGTTTCATGCACAAACTCGAACGTTCTAGATGTGGATTGAATCCCCGTTTGAAAAAGCTTCAAATACATGTAAAAAAAAACCATTTCAATTTTGACATTTTATAGTCGCCGGCGCTTATAAAATTCCTCAATTATAAGCGCACCCCCTAAAAAACAGTGTTTTATTATAACCCCAGGGGCGCTTCTATCCGGGGGCTGACGGTAACGCGGAAGTGATTACAACGTCTGAGCAAACATCGAGGCCTAGGACTAATATAGCAGTGCTAGCTAGGCCGAGGTCGCGAAGTCGCGAAATGGTTGGGTGCAGGTTCGGGGTTGGAAAACCCGAAGGCGACGCGATGGTGGTTCGGAAGGCGAGGTCGTCGGGCCGAGCCTGGGTTTCCGAAAACCGGGGTTGTACGCGTACAGTGTGACCCAGTAAGGAATCCGAGAAAATTCCTTACAAATGGGATACCCTTAGCTCATTGTAATTTTGCCTCGATAGTGCAATAGATTGCTCATAAGATAGTCAATCAATCAACTCGCCATCCATCCATGTTCCTCAGGCGGGTAGGTTCTGTGCCACCATCCACGTGTTCCCATCCATCATCCCCACCATCGATTTTAGCTCCTCCAGTCTTCCACACATACTCGCCTGCACGTGTCACCATCCCGCACGCCCTACCATGGTTGCACCCGCCAATGCGGCGCATGTCCCCGTGCTGCACGGCGGCATTACTACGCCGCGCCGTCATTCGCGCATCGTCCCGCCACGCACGTCGTCCGCTCCGTCGCTCTGCCTTACTACTCCCGCCGTCCCGCGCTACTGTCCTGCGCTCGGCGTCACGCCCGCCTCTCGCCCGTGGGGGCGCGCGTGGCGGCGTGCAGTGCAGCGCGGACGTGCCCGACTATCTGCCCGCCTCCTGGTGCGCACTGCGCGTTCCGGCCGTGCAGCCGCCGCACCACCTCCGCGCTCTTTATAACCCCGCCTTGTGCCCGCTACCAAGCAGTGGTCCGCTCATTTGGGTCCGCCCATGCGGGTCCGCGGAACAACCCCATCCATGGGGTCAGCACCCCGTTCCCCCCCTCCCCCTCTCGCTCATCCCTCTCGCACTGCTTCGCTTCTCCCTCTCTCCTCACGCCCAGCTGCGCCCAAGCTCCTCCTTTCTCCGCCACCAGTCTCCCCCGAGCCCGCCCTTGACCTGCCCTTCCCCCCTCCCGCTCCCCTGTCCCCCACTTTGGCTGCTCCCGCGGCGAGTGCGTGCGCGGAGAGCAGGGCACGTGGCACGGACCGCAAGCCTCTGGGGCCCAGGCTAGAGGTACTAGGGCTGTGTGGGAAGCGCGCTGGGGAGGTGGGGTGTGATGCGGTTGTTTTACTATTAGTAGCATGGCGCATTGATGCGTGCTGTAGCGTGTTGCATGCACTCGGCAAGGAGGACCTACGTCCTACGTACACCCTCTGAGGTGCAGTTCCGTGCCCCCCTGTCCCCTCCCTTCCCTCCCCTCTGTCCCCCGCCCCCCGGCAGTGGAGTGCGGAGGAGGCGGTGCGGCAGCAGCTGTGCGCGCTGCAGAGCAACGACGACCCGTACCCCGACCACGGCGTGGAGGTCATGTACCGCGTGCGTCAACCCATGCTGCCATGCTGCTGCTGCCGCCGCTGCGGCCGTTGCCGCTGCCGCTGCTGTCCGCATGCCTTGCAGCATGTTGTGCGAACGTGCATGCCCATCAGTGTGTCGCCGTACGTGCTGCCTCCTGCTTCACTCATTGGTCTCGCTATCATGACTTCGTATTAACGTGCTCTAAGTTTCTTCCACCTGCATCTTCTCTCTTCTCCTTCCCCCCACCCTTCCTCCCCATCCCTTCCGTTCAGTTTGCAGGGTTCGACCCATTTGAGCGATCGCGGTACTTTGGCCCGCGCTTTGACCTGGGCCAGGTGAGGCCACGCGCCCACATGGCGCCGTGCTGCATGAACTGCCTGCCCTAGTGTGTTGCGCCCTGCGCCAGTCTGCCTCCATCCTCCCATTGCTGCACACCACCCACGATACACCACTCCACTCCATGCCTCTCTGCTTGGCCCCCCAATTATGTCACACTACTCCCCGCAACCTAACTTGGACTTAGCTAGCATCAATTTACAGATTCCCTTTTTTCTTCTTCTTCTTCGTTTCCTGTTGACCCCCCTGACACTGTGCAACGCCAGTTAACGTTCATTAGCTTCGGTTGACGTTGTTCCAACTTAGCCCACACCCCCTCACACTTCTCCCTCTCTTTCGTTCACTGGTTTTCATGCGTGCTCTGTTCACAAGGAATAAATGTGTCTCTTAAAGCTGAGTAAAATGCAAAGGTTAATCCATGAAGCACAAGTAATCCATTCATTGTTGCCCACCACTGTTTCCCCCCCACGCCCTACCCATCCCTCCTGGCCCGCATGGCAGTTTGAGAGGTTCCGGCGGCTCTTCCACCACACGCACTACCGTGTGCTGCTCTCCCACAAGCGCCACCACCTCCTCTCCTCCTTCTACGTCTCCCCAGTACCCACCCCCCCTTCCACTCCTCATCATCTCTCCATTTGCCCTTCGTCGAGCTTCTCTGACCTGCCATATTTCCCTCTGCATTCTGCTTCTGAAAAATAAAAAAAGCACCCGTTTTTTCTTACTCCTTCCACCGTTTTTTCAGCCCTTGATCCTCTGTGGCCCTTCCCCTCCCTCCACTTCCCGCCCATAACCGTGTGCGGCATGCACGTGGGGGGTGCAGGCGCGCGTGAAGCAGAGGGTGGAGGTGGAGGGCGTGCGGCCGGGCGAGGTGGAGGTGTTTGAGTTCACGCTGGAGCAGGTGGGGCGCGGGGTGGGCACACCAGTGCACACAGCACATGGGGGTTCATGGGGGCCGGGGGGAGCAGGCGGGTGGGACAGGGTTGCTGGCTCGTTTGGTGATGGCATTGGTGGTTGGCGGTTGAGCCCCTCATGTGGGGTAGAATCGTGGTGTTGCCTCCGCGCTGCCTTGCACACCCACATGTGTGCTCACAGTTGTGCTGGGGGGATGACCGGGAGAGGCATAGCAATACAGGTGCATGTGATGTGCCAGTCCTTCACATTGTCTCACCAGGGGTATATGTTCCCTCATTATGCATGCACACATTTTGTTTCCTCTTCCCCCCTCCCCTCCACTCCCCACCTGTGACTTCACCGTGGCCTCCCCTGCTCTCCATGCCCGCCCCTGCTGCCGTGTGTGGTGGTGGCAGAGGAAAGGCGGCAGCTGGGACGGGTACTGGTTCACGGAGAGCTTGATACACGACGGCGAGGGGCTCACTGGGGGCGTCGCGTACTAGCCATGCACTGAGCATGGCACTCTGGCGGCATGCTCCACTGCAGCACTAGCTGAGCCATGTTATTCACCCATGTGGGCTGCATCTGTCTCGCAGTCTTGTTGTAATGCATTGCTTTCTGCAAGACAGAGGTCTATAAGGTCTCCTTTAGTATCGGCCCACATAGTTCACCCACGGTTTGCTGTCACATTATTCATTTGTCAGAAATTGAATGATGATTGACTATTGTGGGTTGGGGTACATAACCTATGTCAAACTATAATGTTGCTTATGTTGGGGGCTGTAGTGGGGTAGCCTACCGGTATATGGGGTACAACCCAATTAGGGCTGATTTTATCAGGGTAATTACCCTGATTTCAGGGTGATTACAGGCTCTAAACTGCTGGGCCTTGCAATTTCAGTTTTTTTAACTTGTGAACTCTGATCCAATCAGAAAAGCTACTTCACGAACCCTGAAATCTTATAACTAGACTCAGAGTCGTGTACTTGCGGACTATGTCTATGCAGAGTATGCGTTCGGTGGACCCTGAATGCGAGGGTATCGGGACGAAGGTTCCTCGAAGTTTCCTTTCGATAACCCCCCCTGTGCGTAATCATTACTTCGCGTGGCCCAATGTGAGGTACCCCGTTCACGCGCTGGACTGACGTAATAACGACACCGAATTCCAACACCGTGCTGTAAAGACAGCTGTTAACAGTGACAACGCACCCAAATCTATGATACGTTGCTGCCACGCGCACCTCGCAGTGCACAGCATGCCTCTGCCATTCGCCAGAACGGCATGTTGACAGTATGCGCTGGCAGCTAAGCAGTCCTTGAATGAATTCAGCCTTGCATCTACGGCCGAATTCATTGACGAATGTTGCCATCAACCTTGTGGCATCGCGCCGCGGTGGTTTCGTGATGACCTCGCCATCTCCAACCTTCCTTTGCTTCCCCCTACCCAGAGCCAGGCTTCCTTCGCTTCCTGCTTTTCGTTCAGTATCACACTTTCCTCTCGCTCCATCTTTCCCCTAGCTCGTCGCCATGGAGGCCCTGCCGGCCGACGAAGATGCTCCTCAGACTGGCCCTGACGAGCCACCTTTACCGGCGAAACCGACAGCGCAAGCCTTGCCGGAGAAAGCATCAGATGATCCCCGGTCTGGGCTCGATTTTCTTAGAGCTACCGGTGCTCCGGTGACACCAGAACCTCCTAGGTCTACGGTTCATGACTATGCTGCTAGAGTAACCCCTACTCCTTCTGATTCTCCACATCCTGTCGCCTTCACTCTACCCCCAGCTGTTGCTTCTTGCAGCAAAGATCCCCCACCGCCATCGCCTAGCCCCACTCCAAGCACGGTGCGTGTGTCTGTTGGCCCGCCGTCGGCTTCTTCCACTCCCAAGCGAGCGCGAAATGGGAAGTGGGCGCAGAGTACTCTGGTCGTCGGACGCCGCCGTTTTCCACCGCCTGACAATGACAAGCCGGCAGATCCTCCACCGAAAGAAGCTCAGCAACCAGAGGAAGTTGACATCCCTGTGCGCGCGGATACCGGCTCGCCCGCACTCACCAAGATGCAGCTGCGAGAGCAGGTGTACCTTGAGGCGAGTATTAACTACGAGACGAAGTGGTCGAAACACTTTTCCTGGCTGGTGTTTGGGAAGACCAAGGACGGTTTTCCATACGTGAAGTGCTCCATCTGCATGTCGTACGCGAAGGGGAACACGAGGTACGCCATGCAAGGTGACGACGGTGGCCGTGACTTGCAGACGCAGTCGTTCAGGGCGCACGAGCATACGGACGCACACAAGGCGGCGGTGGATCGACAGTTGAAGCGTGCGGCGGGCATCCGCGAGGGCCGGCAGGCGATTTCTGACTTCATCAACTCCGACGTCGAGGGGCGGCGCGCGATTCGTCTCATGCGGTCTACGCAGTTCCTGTGCCAGTGCGACGCGCCGATTAGCATGTTTCCGAAGCTGATGCGGCATCTTGCGGAGCAGGACACACCAGACATTCCTCGACAATCTTACGGCGTGTATCTGACACGGTATTTAATCTTACCGTTAGATTGCAGCTGGACATATGTGACGTGTGGTTTTTTTATTACGATCCTGACCATTTTATTCTCCTCTGTGCAGATACGGGTTCCAACAAATGGTTCACAGCATCAGTACATACCTCACTCGGGTCCAGATGGACCGCATCCTGGCACCCCCCTTCCTGGGCATTAAGTGCGACGAGAGCACAGACCGAACGCGAGGGAAACACATGATTGTGTACCTTACGTTTTTGAAGAATCGCCAAATCGCATGCGAGTTCTTTACATTGCTGACGGTTGAGCGGTGTGATGCAGGGTCTCTATTCGAGGTGCTTCTGAACCATCTCCGCTCCGCAGCCGTCGATGTGTCCAAGATCGTCGGCATCAGCACGGATGGGGCGTCGGTCATGACCGGGAAAGAAAACGGATTGGTGGCGCGTCTTCGGGAACACGTTCCGCACATGTTTTCATGCCACTGCATCGCCCACCGGTGTGTATCAAGTTTCCTAGTTGGTGTTGTTTTCTACGTATAAGATTAACCAATTACCTCTTGATTTGTATTCCCTGCATCCTACAGTGAGGCGTTGGCTGTGAAGGACGCCGCTGAGTCAAACGAGGACCTTGGCATGGTCGACAAGGTGGTGCGCACAGTGGCGACGCTTCTCGGAAACTCAAGCGTGTGGAGTCAGCGCTTCAAGTACCTTCAGCGAGTGATCTACCAGACAAACCTCGAGGTCCAAGGAATCCACACGGTTCGATGGCTGTCACGAGGTGATGCGGTGCGCAGGCTGTGCAAGGTCCTCGGCGCTTGCATTGTGCTGCTCTGGGAGCACAACCTCAAGGCCTACGAGATTGTGACGTGCTACAAGTTCCAGTTCTGTTTGTTTTTCCTGGCCGACATTCTGGCCGACATGAACGACCTCAACTGCTGCTTCCAGAGTCGTGAGGTGAGATTGAATGCTAGTATAATGTTGAGATGGGAAGTGTAATCCTACACTTTTGCTAATCCTACTCCCTGTTGTTGATTGCATGTGTGACAGCTGGATGTGACTGAGATTTCGAACACTATTGAGTTCACCACGGGTGACCTGACGGAGCGCTACTTGACGACAAACAAACCGTTCGGGGGCGAGGGGAAGAGCTGGCTGGTAAACTTCCTCAAGGTCCTCAAGGAGGGTGGAGGCAAGCAGGTCCGGGTTCGAGGCGTGGACGGAGAGGGACGCCCAATCAACCACCTCTACACCATGCATGAGAGGAAGCTGAAGGGCCACAAGCAGGGAAGCACCTACGCAGACTGCGTGAAGCTGTGCCGCCAATTCGCCCGCGACTGCGTGGACAACCTGAACGAACGGCTGGATGACCTTGGGAAGCTGGGCCCGACGAAGCTGTTCCGGGCGGGGAAGTGGCCGAAGATCAAGGCCCAGCGAGAGAAGAAGTGCAAGGAGTGGCTGCACGGATGCAGCAGGCTCTTCCGCCACAAGCTGCCGGGATTCGACCTCAAAGCAGCAGAGAGGGAGCTCCCGACATCATGCGCGATCATGGAGTCACACCATGAGATGGAGAGCTTCGGTCAGGGCCTTAACAACTTTCTTGGGAGCGTAGACTCAAAGAGGTAGGCCACTGCATGCGTACGAGTTTTTTACCTATTTGATTTTTATGTTGGTGATTATTAACATGTTGAATTCCAACTTGTTGATTTATTAACTTGTTGATACTTTTACATGTTGTTGTGTTTCGAATGTGCCTGGCAGGAGATGGCCCAACCTCATCCTGCTGTGGCAGGCGCTGGCTGTGCTTCCCCTCTCCACCGTGGAGTGCGAGAGGGGGTTCTCCAGGCAGAACATCATCAAGTCCTGGGTGCGTGGAGCGCTCTACAACGCGCGTCTGGGGGAGCTGATGCAGATATCGCTCCTGACGTACGAGATCGAATGGCCGGAGGCACTGGAGGTGTGGAGGTCCATGCGGAGGAGGCGCCCTGTGAAGAGCCTGAAGCTGGCCGTGGCAGAGAGGGAGAGGAAGGGGAAGCAGAAGGAGGGTGAAGCTGTGGCTGCTGGAACTGCGGGGGAGAACGAGGACGAGGGGGAGGAGGAGGAGGACGATGAAGTGGAACAGGACTTGGGCGACGATCAGGAGGTCGTGGAAGAGGAGGACAACCCTTTCCTGTCAGACGATGAGGACGTAGAGGAGGTGTACTTCATTGACAAACCCGTGCACTAGATAGTGTAGGAAAGTTGAAGTTGTTGTATCTGTCAAACTTGTATGCTATAGTCTCTGTAGGCTGTAGTGGGGTAGCTCATATGGGGTACACCACTTAAGGGTTTCCTACTTGTACTCCTCATGCTGCTCAATGCAATCATTCCTGCTTGCTATCTTAACATGGTTTCGGAGAAGTAGGTCCGTAGGACCGTTTTTTTTTTCGGGCCCACCATACTTAGCTTCCGACTGCGGTTACCGCGTTACCCCACTACCCCGCGTCGTGCTGCCTAGCGCATGCCCTGCCCTGCACCGGCGCCCTGCCCTGCGCCAGCGCCCTGCCCTGCGCCAGCGCCCTGCCCTGCGCCGGCGCCCTGCCCTGCGCCAGCGCCCTGCCCTGCGCCAGCGCCCTGCCCTGCGCCGGCGCCCTGCCCTGCGCCCGCGCCCTGCCCTGCGCCAGCGCCCTGCCCTGCGCCAGCGCCCTGCCCTGCGCCAGCGCCCTGGCCTGCGCCGGCGCCCTGCCCTGCGCCAGCGCCCTGCCCTACGCCAGCGCCCTGCCCTGCGCCAGCGCCCTGCCCTGCGCCAGCGCCCTGCCCTGCGCCCGCGCCCTGCCCTGCGCCAGCGCCCTGCCCTGCGCCAGCGCCTTGCCCTGCGCCAGCGCCCTGGCCTGCGCCGGCGCCCTGCCCTGCGCCTGCGCCCTGCCCTACGCCCTCGCTGCAGCCCGCGCGTCGCGCCGTACTGCAGCCCGTGCGTCGTGCGCTGCTGCCCCGCGCGTCGCGCTCTGCAGCAGCCCATGCGTCGCGTCCGCTGCCCGTGCGTCGCGGCCGCTGCAGCCCCGCGCGTCGCGTTCGCTACCCGCGAGTAGCGTCGCGCTGCAGCCCCGCGCGTCGCAGCCGCTACCAGCGCGTCGCGCTGCAGCCCCGCGCGCTGCGGCTGCCGTCCTCGCGCAGCCCGCTGCGGGTTCGCGCGGCCGCGCCCTGCTGACGCGGCCGCGCCCTGCTGTTGACGCGGCCGCGCCCAGCTGCTGACGCGGCGTCGCCCCTGCCCGCCGCGTCGCCCCTGCCCGCCGCGTCGCCCTGCCCGTCGCGTCGCCCCTGCCCGCCGCATCGCCCTGCCCTACCCCACGCCGGGCCCCTGGAGCAGCCGCCCCTGCAGCAGCCGCCCCTGGCCCCTGGAGCAGCCGCCACTGCAGCAGCCGCCCCTGGCCCCTGGAGCAGCCGCACCTGCAGCCGCCCCTGGCCCTTGGAGCGGCCGCCCCTGCAGCAGCCGCCCCTGGCCACTGGAGCAGCCGCCACTGCAAGAGCCGCCCCTGGCCCCTGGAGCAGCCGCCCCCGGAGCAGCCGCCCCTGCAGCAGCGACCGTCGCGGCCCTGTCCCTGCCTTTCCCACCACTGCCGCCCCTGGAGCAGCCGCCCCTGCAGCTGCCGCGGAGCCCTCGCCCTGCAGTGGTAGCGGCCTCGCCGTTACCGCCGTCGTACGCCTGCCCTTCTCGCCACTGGTGAGCACTGCCCTACCCGTACTGCTGTTACTGCTGCTCCTGCTGCTACTGCTCTTTCTACTGCTATTGCTGCTCCTGGCGTGGCCAGATGCAACTCCAGCGCCGTCCGCGTGAGCCCTCACGCCCCAACAGCTTCGTGAGTGGTACACTAGCTGGGGTTGTAGGGGTGGCCGCGCTGCTACTACTGCTACTGCTGCTACTGCTGCTACTGCGGCTACTAATGCTACTGCTGCTACTGCTACTACTGCGGCTACTACTGCTACTGCTACTCCTGGCGGTGGTCAGCTGCAGCTCCAGCGACGTCCGCGTGAGTCTCTCCCGCCTCAGCAGCTTCGTGAGTGGTACGCTAGTTGGGGTTGTCGGGGTGGCCGTAGTAGGAGTCGTCCTGGAGTGAGTAGTTCGGGAGCTTCTTGCAGTGGCCAGGTGCAGCTGCAGCGTCGTCCGCGCGAGACCCTTTCGCCCCAGCAGCTTCGCGAGTGGTACGCTCAGAGTAGAGGGTCACTGAGTACTGCTCGCTGCCCGTACGTCGTTCGCACGGGTGTCCGGAATGGTCAGCCTTGCGGGACTCCTGGTCACACAGAGTCCCGCTGCTTCGCCCGTCTGAGCGACGCTTGGAGTACAAAGTTTGGCGACGACGCTGAGCTCTCCGACTGGGTGGAGCTACTTAGGCAGAGGGTAGATATCTTTGCTCTTGACTATGATGCTATTCTCACTTCAATGTATGCATTGTCTACTAGTGCCGAGGGAGCCTGTCACCTGTGTGTGCCGCCCGACCCCGGTATCCAATCTGCTGCTCTAGGTGCTGGTGAGGCTGCTGCTCTAGGTGCTAGTGAGTCTCCTGCTCCAAGTGCTGGTGAGTCTGCTCTCTCTGGTACTGCGCCTGCTGCGGTCTTGCACACCTTCACCCTTGACCCGGGTGCTTCTCGCTCCTTCTTTCGAGACCGCACCACCCTCACGCCGCTTAGTCGGCCGGTTGCAGTCTCCCTGGCAGACCCCTCTGGGGGTCCTGTCCTTGCTCAATACTCCACTGTGCTACCGAGTCCGGCGGCCCCGTCTGGCTCCCTGTCAGGTCTTTACCTCCCCTCGTTCTCTACGAACTTGGTGAGTGGTGCTGATCTGCAGGATCGAGGGGTTGACCAGTTCACTCCTGCGAGTCAGCGAGTGACCCACTGCACGTGTGCTCGGACGGGCCGACACTTGGCCACGTTTACCCGTCAGCCGGGGTCGAGCCTGTACACACTGATGACCGAGTCTCCTTCAGTTACTGCGTCTGGTCAGGTTGCTGCGTCGGGTCAGGTGTGTGCTGCAGCGTCTCGGTCTGGTCCTGCGTCTGCCCCCTGCTCGTGTCGCCTCCTGTCCCACCAGACTCTCCTCTGGCACCACCGCCTTGGTCACCCCTCCCTGCCTCGCCTCCGAGGCATGGCCTCCCGTGTCCTTGTCTCTGGTCTCCCCAGGTCCCTCCCTCCCCTTCCTCCGGGGCCTGCCCCTACCTGCGTTCCCTGCGTCGAGGGACGGCAGCTCGCCGCTCCTCACTCCTCTGAGTTTCCTCCGACAGAGGCTCCGCTGCAGACTCTCCACATGGACGTGTGGGGCCCCGACTGCGTCCGTGGACAGGGTCATGAGCGTTACTTCCTGCTGGTGGTTGACGACTACTCGCGTTACACCACAGTCTTCCCCTTGCGCAGCAAGGGTGAGGTCACTGAGGTGTTGATCGACTGGATCCGCGCTGCCCGTCTCCAGCTCAGAGAGAGGTTCGACTCGGACTTTCCTGTTATGCGTCTGCACTCCGACAGAGGTGGAGAGTTTTCCTCTGACCTTCTGCGAGCCTACTGTCGTGTGGAGGGCATCTGCCAGACGTTCACGCTTCCGGCCTCTCCACAGCAAAATGGGATTGCTGAGCGCCGCATTGGCATGGTCATGGACGTCGCTCGTACGTCCATGATCCATGCGGCTGCTCCCCATTTTCTGTGGCCGTTCGCGGTTCAGTACGCGGCGCATCAGATCAACCTTCAGCCCCTGGTCTCCATGCCGGAAACCTCTGTGGTGGACGGGGAAGGTTGGCGATGCGTCTGCGTTCCGTGTCTGGGGATCTCGAGCTTTCGTCCGCGACTTGTCTGCGGACAAGCTGTCCTCCCGTGCTGTTCCCTGCGTCTTCCTTGGCTTCCCCCCCTGACGCGCCTGGTTGGCAGTTTTACGACCCCACCTCGCGCCGTGTTCTGTCCTCTCAGGACGCCACGTTTGACGAGTCGGTTCCCTACTACCGTCTCTTCCCCTACCGCACTGCTCCCTTTCCCCCCCCGCCGCTCTTCCTCGCGCCAGGTCCCCCCCCGGTAGACCCCCTCCCCCCCCAGGGTCCTGCCCGCTCAGGTGTGTCCCAGGTAGACGCGGTCGAGCCTGTCGAGGTAGCTGTTGACTCTGGTGCTGCTAGGGGTGCTGTGCCTGTGGGTGCCGGGTCTGGGGGTGCTGAGCCTGAGCGTGCAGAGCCTGGGGGTGCTGAGTCTGAGGGTGCTGAGCCTGGGGGTGCTGAGTCTGGGGGTGCTGAGCCTAGGGTTGCTGAGTCTGGGGGTGCGGAGCCTGAGGGTGCTGGGCCTACTCGTGTGGAGTCTGGTGAGCCTGGGGGTGCTGAGCCTGGAGGTGTGGAGCCTGGAGGTGCGGAGCCTGGGGGCGCTGAGGCGTCTGGTGAGCAGTCTCCCTGGGGTGACCGTCTCCGCAGTCGCTCTGCTGGTACCTCGCCGCTGCACTCTTGTCGTGGACTCCCTCTCTCCTCACAGCAGCTGCGTGAGTGGTACGTTGGCCGCCAGGGTCGCGCTGCTGGAGCTAGGGGCCCTGCTGCGGGAGGCGCTGGTGCTGGTGTCTCTCCTACTAGAGCTGCTGCGGGTGCTGGCGCCGGAGGTCCTGGAGCTGTTGCGGGTGCTGGTGCTGAGGG